TTTTTTTTTTTTTTTTTTTGTTTTTTTTTTTTTGTTTCCTTGGGGGGGGGGGGGGGGCAGGTTTGTTTTTTTTAAATTTTCTGCTCAGATTAAAAAAAAATTGAAAGACTTCTGGGGAGGACAATGTTGTATTCCATTTTATTTAAATAGTATGCTCTGTCTCACCCCTCCGAAATGTATGGTGTATGTATCAGGCCTGTGGTCCTGCCCTGAACCCTCCTGTATCTGCAATCCCATTGGCCCAAGTCTGATTCCGCGCCCACTTCAATTCCCCTCTTAAGCTGTGCTAGGGGATCAGTCTGGCTCTTAGCCCTTCCTCTCTCTCAGCCTCTTCCCCCCTCTTGCCCCTTCCCTCCCCGAGGCTCCCCCTTCCCCCCTTTTCCCTCAGTAACCATGCTGTACCCGGGTTTGGGACCCCAAATAAACCTTCATCTGCTCAGCACCCTCAGAAGCCGTGTGGAGTCTCCTTGCCTGCCTGCTGCTGCCAGCCAGCTCACAGCCTAGGGGGCCCTCCGGGGACCTCCCCGGGGTGCCCCACCTCAAAACGCACCGCAACAGGACAACAAATAAAGAAAAGAAATTATGATGGGTGTCAGTATCCCTGCTCTTCTGGGTGTGGTTACAATGCTGTGCAAGATTATTCCAGTGCTGCAAAATCTTTTGATAGATGGATTGTTTCAGCCACAAATATCTTGGACACATCATTGTTGAGGACTTCGTGAACTGACTTCTCCTTGAGAATCGCAGCTTTATTGGTAATTCAGAGACAGAACTCGGGGGGGGGGAAAACCACACACACACACATACACACACACATACACAGAAAGAAAAAAAAAAACAAAAAAAAACAAAACAAAACAAAACAAAACAAAACAAAACAAAACAAAACAAAACAAAACAAAAAAAAAAAAAAAAACAACAAAAAACAATGCAGAACAAAACAATGAGGAGGAATAGCTTTCCTTTGGCTAGATTTACCAGAACAAAAAGATTCATTAAGATCCTGTATCACCTATCAGCAGTTGTATAAGTGCCTGGACAAATTGCATTTACCAGGTAGCATTTCCATGCATTTTCCTTTATCTTCCATACCTTTTCCTTTCGGTATTACTGTGCATTCCCAAGTGAAGTTTGTGCTACATGATGTTCATTCAAGTGCTGATCACCTTTAGACATTGTAGCATTATAGAGAAAATTTTGTATCCATTGCTTTTGGTGGTATACCATCAGAGTTCCCAAAGATCATATTTACCATCCATCTCTCAGAAAAATATGTGAAAGAACGGCATCTAACAGATACTTTTAGCACATCACAGTTCCTGGCCTTCAGGAAAAG